TTAGTGGACCCGGTGGCTTAAAAACTCATGCTGGGCGCATGTGCGTGTGTGCCCAAAATACCAAGAGGAGAATGGAGGAGAAGGAATTGCAGTGTGGCCATCCCCCCTGGGGGGTGATTTCTCGCTTTCTGTCTCTCTGTCTCTCTCTCTCTGTCTGGTGAGCGCATGTGCCCTAAGGCAAAGACTCTTCCAAAAAAAAAAGTAAAAATTTCATACTTAATCTTTTGAAACTATTTTAAAGAATAATATTTATACTTCAAAGCATCAACAAATATTCATAGCCTACGTACTATAATGTAGTTTTCTTTCTTGTTAATTTTTCTCCATTACTTAAATAGATAATCTCAATAAGATTTTTGTGTTTTCTTTTTTGGGGGGATAGGGTGTGTGCGCTCACCAGAGAGACAGAGACAGAGAGACAGAAAGTGAGCAATCACCCCCCCAGGGGGGATGACCACACAGCAATCTCTTCTCTTCCATTCTCCGCTCAGGATCTTGGACACACACACACACACACACACACACACACACACATGTGACCAGCCACCGGGTCCAGGACTCGAACTGCAGTCGACTACATGGGAGTCCAGTGACATAGCCATTATGCCAACTGCTGGTCCCTGTGTTTCCTTTTTTCAAAATTAGGTAATTTTTGGTTTCTGCCCTGTAACTTGCTATTTTTCTTTTTCTTTTTTTTTTTTTTTAAAAGAACTATTTAACTTTATTTTTTAATCTGACCAGAGAGAGACAGAGTGAGAGAGGGAGAGAGAGGGAAAGTGAGAAAGCAAGCCGCGAGATCTGGAACTTGAACCGTGGTCAGCCATGTTGGAGTCCAGCACCTTAACCGCCATATCACCTGCCAGCCCCGCTATTTTTCATTTAACAATATATCACGGACATTTTTTCTAGGTCAGGACAGCATGTATATCTTAATCACATCTTGGATAGTTTAAACCTTTGTCTTGAAGAAGCAAGAGTTTGAGAATTTATCCCAGGGCTTGAAGTCAGATTGAACATTTTAGCTTTTATTGCAGAATCTACACTCTCTAGTTGGTGCAGTTGAGGATAGCATTTTGTTAATGTGTTTTACATGAGGTTATCAGCTGAGGTTACTACAGTTATTTTATATATAACAAAGAAATTGAAACTGTACGACATATTCCCAGAGGAAAACGTTCTGATTTGTAATGGTGGATTGCAAAAGGGAGCAAAGTTCATAGAAAAAAAATTTTTTTTTTCTTTTGGTGCAAAAAAAAAAAGATATTCATACATAGTTTAAATACACATTTCCCATGAACTTTTCAAAGGCCTCATATATTTTTGTTAGGATTTTTCTTCCATTATATTAAGAATATGCCTGGAGCTACCTAAAGTTTCCAGAGAAGGCCAGTTCTGGAATGTGGACATTATTTGGTAGTGGGTGTATTTTAGAGCTATACTCCCCCTGTCGTTCCTCTGTGGAAGTGTTGACTATGTTCTGTGTCTCCAGTACCTAACAGTACTTGCTGTGGTAGAAGTTCAGATATTTTCCGTTGGGTGACTAGGTTTGACCTGGATATTTGTCTATTTGTGGGCTTTCTTCTTAGTCTTAAACTCTCCTTCCTTTTTTGCCCTTCTAGTTTCTCATGTTCTTTTTCTCTGGCAAAGTAAGTGAATCTCTCTGGTTGGGCCCCTTTCACACTAGTATGGTGCCAAGTTGTCTCCACGTCCCTTCTTTCCAACACCACTCTAGGGAGACGGGTCGAGAAACATACCCTATCACAATATGGGGTACATGGCTCTAAGGGTCTGAAAAAATCATTTTAAAAGCCATTTTGAGGCCTGGGAATGGTAAAAAGCACGTGAATTCAGGGAAAGTATTTTTACACTGCAATAATTTCTTTTTGAAGCCAATTTATTGAGACATATGCCAACAACCCAGTATTGTACGAGTGATGTGAATTAAACCTTACACAAATGTAGTATTTGTCTTTTTATTTTTCTTTCTCTCAATCAATTCCCACTAAAATTTACAAATGGATATAAAAATCTTGTTTGTACCTGGTTGGCTTGTTAGAAAAATATTGAGTAAAAAGGCCTGTGATATTTCACAGTGCTGCCATCAGATTAAAAGGAGCAAAATGCACATAAAGTATATGTGTGTGTGTGTGTGTGTGTGTGTGTGTGTATAAGTTCCAAAAGGGGAAAATAAAATATAAACGTGCAAAATGCTACAAAGAAAAGACCCCATTTTCTCTTTTAGGTTTGATGTTGGTGATAAACTTGGTGATTTCTTGAGATCAGCAGATGTTTTGCCAAATTAGTAGATATTGTATCTTGCTGGGAGGTACTTACCCACACTTGAGTCATAAAGTGATGCAGTTATGCCATTTTTTTCAGGAGGGACTACACATACTGTTTTTTAGAAGAAATGAAAACCTTTTCTACCTCCAGCTACAGGCTGCGCTTTGAAATAAAATCATCCATTTGTAAGTATTATATTCCTGGGACCAGCAGTTAGCGTAATGGCAATGTCACTGAACTCCTATGTAGTCGACCGCGGTTCATGTCCCAGACCCGGTGGCTTAAATTCATGCCGGGCATGTGTGCGTGCGTGCCCAAGATCCCAATAGGAGAATGGAGAAGAAGGGATTGCTGTGTGGCCATTCCCCCAGGGGGTGATTTTTCACTTTCTGTCTCTCTGTTTTTCTCTTTCTGACGAGCGCATGCGCCCAATAGCAAAAACAAAACAAAACGAAACAAAAAACTCTCCAACAACAAATATATATATATATATTCTATATCCTGTCATGTATAGAGTCTAGAAAATTGAACTGTAAAATAAATGTTGAAAATGATAGCATGATATAAAAGATGCTAAAGTATAGGCTGGCTTCAGAGCCTGGTGGTTAAGAGAAGTCAGATCCCACATGGCCTTCCATGGTTTGTATCCCAACCTCCTAGCAACTTGAAAAACACATGGGGCCCATGTGTGTGCATGCCCCAAATCCTGACAGGATGGAGAAATAGAGACAGCATTGCAGAGTGACCACACCCCATCGGGGAGTTCTCTGGGGCATGCACATGTCCTCAGACAACTAAAAAAAAAGGTGCTGAAGTATAAAGGAATTCTGAGCCATATGTGAAGAGACAGTGATATATATTAAATCTTTTAGGTGTTTAAACATATAATCAAGCCATAAAAGGCATCCTTGTTATTGTGTTACCTTTATTGTTGCCTAGGGTTATCTTGTGAAGTGAGTTTCATTCAAAGGATTTTGGGTTGTGCTGCTGTCTTCTGGGAGTGAGTAATAATAGAATGCAAAACAAATACTCAGTTTCAGTTTGAAACCATTGCATTGAGTCTAGTAAAAATAAAACAGGTAAGTAAGGAGCTGGTTTTCAAAGAAATTTACATTGTGATCAAACTGCTGAGGTGCTGCTGTTGAGGAAGTGGGCAACCATGATTTTGATGAACCAGAACCTGCTAGACCAGTGAATCCAGTTTCCCCTGCCTGATGGTAATTTAAAAGTAGGTGCTCAAACTATATTTGTTGCAAATAAGGTAACAATTTAAAAGTAGGTTTCTGTGTGTTTTTTTCTTTTTTTTCTTTTTTTTTAGAGATTTTTCGCTGTAGGGCGTGTGTGCTCACCAGAGAGACAGACAGAAAGCAAGGAATAACTCCCCAGGGGCATGGCCATGCCATAATCCCTTCTCCTCCCTTCTCCTCTTGGGATTTTGGGCATACACACATGCCTGGCGAGAGTTTTAAGCTGCTGGGTGCAGGACTTGAACTGCAGTCCACTAGGAATCCAGTGATGTAACAATTGCACCATCTGCTGATCCCAAACATAAGCAGTTTGGAGGGTGGAGAGGGCTGGGGGAGTATGGTGCAGGGAGGAGAGGAAGAGAGTGGGGCAAGAATGCAGGAGGAGATAAAGGAGTGAGAAGGCAGAATGGAGGGAGGGAGGAAAAGTGGGGAGAGAAATGTCTCGGTTCTTTTACTTATTTTTTGAATTCTACACTGATTTTTTTTTTTTTTTTGAGAGATTTTCACTATAGGGCGTGTGCGCTTGCCAGACAGACAGAGAGAGACATAGAGACAAAAAGCGAGAAATCACCCCCCAGGGGAGATGGTCACGCCGCAATCCCTTCTTCTCCATTCTCCTCTTGGGATCTTGTGCGGGCATACACCCTCGCCCGGCATGAGTTTTAAGTCACCGGGGCCAGGACGTGAACCGCAGTTGACTACAGGGGAGTCCAGCAACATAGCCATTACGCTAACTGCTGGTTCCCATACACTGATTATCTTTTTAAGTGAGAAAAAAATAATAAAATGCCAGTGTTCACCTTTGATTTTAGAAGATCACAATCACTTGATGCTATAAATCATTAGTTGAAATAAGTATAAATAGAGCATTTATCTGACCAATTTTATTTTTATTGTATTAGGTATAACTCCAGTTGTCCTTTTCTCTTGTAATTATGGTCTCAATTGAACTGGCATTTTATCAAAGAGAAAGACATTCAGGCCAGTAGGTAGCGTGGTGGGTAAAGGCTTTGGATTCCCACATGACCGACCACAGTTCGAGTCCTGGACCTGGTGGCTTGTTTTCTCACTTTCCCTTTCTCTCTTTCTCTATCTCTTTCTGGTCAAATTAAAAAAAATAATAACAACAAATGAAATTAAATATTTAGAAAAAAGAAAGAGAAAAAGGCACTCATAATGATTGCTAGTCTACAGATTAGTATTTAGGCTGAACATTTTTCTTTGGGCAGCAAAGTAAAACATGTTGACTGACCAGTGCAGCTTAACTCTGTCTTCTTAGCAAGATATTCCAATTTGGAAATTAACAGCAAGTTTGGATGGATGAAGAGGCAAACTTTTAGTTAATGAAAACAGTACATTTAATAATATTTATATTGCTTTATCTAAATTAGGAGGCAACCAAGCAGAAATACTTCCGACATATGAATAACATTAATGAAAACAATACCCAGCTGCGTGGGAGATCACATAAAATGGCTCCTTTTTAGTATTACATGAATCTTTGAATTCTTAATGCCTCGATAATGAGAGCTAAGTAATTCTGCAAAGACATAATGGACTCTTAGTTATCATTTTCTTTAACTGCTAGAGAACACATGTGCTTGGCAAAGGGTAAGAGAGGGAAAAAGCACCCCCAGTAGGGCGTAGTCATGCCACAATCCCTTCTCCATTTGTCCACCGAGGTGGAATTTTGGATTTGTGCTCATGTGCCCAGTGTGTTTCTCAAGCAGCTGGGATAGGATTCAAACCATGGCTCACTATGTGGGATCTAGCTCTCTTAGCCACTAGGCTACAGGGTCAGCCCAATCATATTATTTCTCTATGTTAGGTAATTCTCAAATTTCCTCATGTTTGATTTTAGTCCTTTGAAGACTATCTACCAGGATGGAACTCTTATATAATACAGGACTGTATTTAAAACTATTAAAAAAATTAAAGGTATTTTATATAACATCTATCATGAACACCTCTCAAAGTTAGCTTACATAAAACTTAGGGAATTAAAGCAAGCTATTATGGTATTCATCATAATGACACAAATAACATATTTTTTTAAAGAATTATTTATTAAATTAATTATTTTTTAAATTTAGCCAGAGAGAGAGAGAAAAAGACCATTTGCTGGCTCCTGGACTCTGAAATTTTAAATCATAAGAGAGCTGATCTAGATTGAGCATATTTAGAGAAGACAGAATCTCAGGTCCCAAGGCTTACCCCAATTAGCCTTTGAACATGTGGAAAACTGATTTTAGGATTTGCTGTTTTGTTAAAGGTTAGAACATTCTGTTATTTCACATACCTAAGGTGAGTCAGCAGGTGGTGTAGTGGTTAAGGCTCTAGACTCCCACATGGCCCACTGTGGTTCAAGTCTAAGTCCCAGACCTGGTGGCTTGAAAATCACATTGGGCACACATGCATGCATGCCCCTAATCCCAGGAGGATAATGTATTGTGTCATGGCTATCCTCCCTGGGGGGAAATTTCTCACTTTCCCTCTCACTGTCTCTCTGTCTGTCTCTCAGGAACACATGCACCCTATAACAAAAACCTTTAAAAAAAAAAAAAAGATACCTGGGGGCCAGCAGGTGGCATGGAAGTTAAAGCAGCTGGATCCCACGTGTCTGACGACAGGATTTGAGTCCCTGAGTTAGCAGATTGAGAAACATGCCAGGCGTGTGTGCATGCTTGTCCAAAAGCTCCCTCCCTCGCCCCGGTCCCAACTCCAGTGAGCGCATGTGCCCTATCGCAAAAATTTAAAACTAAAATTAAATGAAAAAGATAATGTAAAAGGGTTGTATTTTATAAATTGATGTGTGTGAGTTGATGAAAACCAGGGATTAGAACTATAAACATGCTGCGAGTAACTATTACACTTTCTAGAGCCTGAAAAGTAAGCTTACACTGTCGATTATTTTGGCTTCCTCAAGATAGAGATACTGATTTGGAAGAACATTTATTCAAAGTTAAGAGGTACAAACATTACCTTTTTTGTTTTGTTTTAGGAGAGGTTTTTGCTGTAGGGTGCGTGTGCTCGCCAGAAAGACAGAGACAGAGACAGAAAGTGAGAAATCACCCCCCAAGGAGGATGGCCATGCCACAATCCCTTCTCCTCCATTCTCCTCTCGGGATTTTGGGCACGCATGCACACGCACCCGGCATGAGTTTAAGCCACTGGGTCCTGGATTCAAAACATGGTCGACTACATGGGAGTTCAGTGACATAGCCATTGCGCTAACTGCTGGTCCCAATGTTGTGCACTTTGAGTTTTGCTGTGCAATATTTCCCTAATCTTCACTTGTTTCATATTATCCAGGCCAACAACAGTGGTTCAGAATAGTGAAATCTCCAGAAAGAGGAATTTACAACTGAACTTTGTCACCAAGTAGCAGAGCTACAAGGTGAATTAACAGGGCCAAGAAAGTACCTTTGAAGACAAAGAAGGGGAACTGTTTGGCGATAAAAAATGATTCTAAGAAAACCAGTCTTAAAGAGTATGATAAGAGAGGAACCAGCAGTTAGCGTAATGGCTATGTTGCTAGACTCCCACGTAGTCGACCGCGGTTCACGTCCTGGACCCGGTGGCTTAAAATTCACACCAGGCGCATGTGTGTGCGTGCCCAAGATCCCGAGAGGAGAACAGAGGAGAAGGGATTGTAGCATGACCATCCCCCCTGGGGGGTGATTTCTTGCTTTCTGTCTCTCTGTCTCTCTCTGTCTGTCGAGTGCATGTGCCCTATAGTGAAAAAACCTCTAAAAAAAAAAGAGAGTATAAGAGCATATTTTATTAAATATTGCAGCTAACTGCTTTGCTATGCCATTAAATAAAGTAAATAAATTACTCTAAAATTTCAGAAGCGATTAGAGCTTTTTCTTTTTTCTTTTTAAATTGCTAGAAGGTCCATGCACTCACGAGAGAGAGAAAATAAGCACACCCTGTGG